GTGAAATTGAGTGGTCAGGAGGCCTCTTTCTACCCACTCTCCATTTCTATTAGCTTCTTCCCTGTCTGCAGATGTCACTTCCAGAAACCGAAGAGGGTGACAAGACGTATCACTGTTGTCTCAAGGGGTACCAGCGTGTGCATGTGGCACAAACAAACAGAAGCCTTGGTGAAATGGACCCAGCCTTGGGTCAGGGCCCCAAACTTTAGGGAGGGGCCACCAGGGTTCCTGTGGTGACTTGGCTGGACTTTTAGTGTTTTACACTCCTTCTTCCTCTTTCTGCGGCTCCAGCTTGAGTGGGGAGGCCCTTGGCTTCCTGCTCCTCAGATCACTGGGGCCACACTCAGTGTCACTTCTGCCTTCCAGACAGGGTGCTCCCTCAGCATCCCCGACAGACTCCCACCCACATTCACCTCAGATCTGGGTCACGCGCCTCACTTCTCATGAGTCTGGAACAAGGTGAGGGGTTCTCATTGGGCCCTCGATTGCCTTGAACAGATGGAAAGAGGAGGGATGGACGTGGGGTAGACGCCTAATAAAGTCTGCCACTCAAAGCTTTGTTCTCACAAAAAGAACCACGGAAAGACAAGAAAAAGGAAGGGGGAAAATAAAAAGAGTGGAGACTAAGGACATGGAAAACAAGCTATAAATGAGGATTCATCAAAACCAAATGGGAAGGTGCATTTTTGAAATGTCAAATAAAATAGATCCATTTCCAGCAAGACTGACACAAGATAATGAGGAAAAATGATGAGTTTTAAAGTTATGCACATAACGTAATCCAAATTAGGTTAAAATAATAAAAAGAGATACACTAAAAGGTAACAGAGATATAATACAGAGAGCATCCTTTTTTTTAATATACTCTTAAGTATTTTCTATAGGTTTTTTAAATTAGTGACCATAGATGGCTTTTATATAGAGAAGAAAAATATTGTTTGAAAGTTGCACATAATAAAATGTATGTTTTAAGTCATTTTTACTATCAGTTTCCAAATCAAAGATGGCCTAAAAGTCTAAGTTAAAAACAATTGACATGTTCTAATTGTTATTCATACAGTGATGTGGATAGTGTCACAGAATTAGAAGTGTAAGATAGTCCCTACCCCGTAGGGGCTGCCTTCTCAGTGGAATATTCTGTTTTTCCTCTAAGAATCCTTTAGAGGACACGTAGCATTTGTTTCAAATGCCTGGTAGGTAGTCCTGTGAAGTAGTACACAAGAGTGGAGCCCAAGGTTCTATTTGTTTTAAAGTTCTGAGTTCTGCTTACATTTTCGCTTCATCTAAGAATTTCTGGACTGAAAGCTTTTGGGAAGAATTGAAAAATCAGAATGTAGCAGATTATTTCCTTGGTGATGAGCTCTCTTCGGATTCCTTTGTGAATCCCGCCCACCCCATGTTGTGCTGCAAAAAGGCTTGCACTTACAAATAAAATCAAGGGGACTCATCAAGACTGACGGGTGCTTGGTAGGATCAGCACCAACTTCCATTTGGATGGGCCCGGATTTCTGGTGACACCTACCAGCTGTATGACACTGGGTATTTCTGGAATGGAAAGTGAGACATTCATTAGGTTCAATCGGTATAATGTAAGAAAATATACATGAAGGTGTTTAGCATAGTGCCTAGGCATAGAAGACACTTAAAAAGTGTTAATGAGGGACGCCTGGGTGGCTCAGTTGGTTAAGCAGCTGCCTTCGGCTCAGGTCATGATCCCAGTCCTGGGATCGAGTCCCACATCAGGCTCCTTGCTCATCAGGGAGCCTGCTTCTCCCTCTGCCTCTGCCTGCCATTCTGTCTGCCTGTGCTTGCTCTCTCTCCCTCTCTCTCTCTGACAAATAAATAAATAAAATCTTTAAAAAAAAGTGTTAATGAACATTTATTATTATTTATTATTATTATTTAGAGAGGTTAGTGTCTTGGAAAAGAAGGAAGAAAACCATTTAGGGTACATGGGAAGAAACTGGGCCCAGAGGCAGCTCAGAATGGTAAGACGTCCTATTACTGCCAGAGCTGGCCCCACAAGGGCTAGGCAGGATGCTGGAGAAGAAGGGCACATGCATCCCTCCACCAGAAACAAAGCCAAAATTTGCTGGGAAATTGTTGAAATAAATACAGAAATCTGTGATGATTATGGAAGTGAACGATGATCCCTAAAGTTGTACAATGCCCAACCTTCAGAACTGTACAGGGCAGCCCTGAACTAGACCCACAAGATGGCTTTACCCTGGTGTCAGTCTCTTAAGTTGCTGCCATTTATTTTATGTTTCCTGTTGGGCCTCTTTAAATTCTTTCTAGTTCAAGGCAGGGTAGACATGTAAATATATTATAAGGCCCGAAGAAGAAGTTTGAAACACAGGCTATACCAAAAGACAAAGTCTCAGAACCGAAGGAAAGACTGGTCAAGTCCCACCTTCTCTCCCACTTCCTGTTCGATGCATCTTCCTGTGAGAATGCAAAGTGTCTGTATATCAAGACATATTGCATCAGGTAAGTGTGGTCTCAAATGGGGCCAAATGCCTCGTAACTTCAATCAGGAGTAAATCAGCTCCTTTGTGCAGAGGGCTAGCTAACATCTGAAACTCATTACCCCTAGAGGCTGGTTTGGATTGCAAATACAAGCACGTTTAAGGAAGGTTGGTTTCAGGCAGGCTGCACCAGGCGGTTAAAGCTACAACCCGGAGTCAGGTGCAGAAGGTCAAGCCACTGGGTTCTGCTAAGTGTTCTGTTCCTTTATGACTCCAGCTTTTCTCTTGCCGGCCCTCTGGGGCTTGGCCTGACTTGGAGACTACATCTTGGGCTTCTGCCCGCCCCACCTGAACGCCGTGTCCCCAGGGACAGGGACGAGACCGTGGCTGGGGGTCGACTGTAGGGTGCTGCAACCCCTGGGGACAAACAGAGCAGGCTTGGCCATGTGACATTGGGAGGCAGTTGTTTATCCAGTGGGGAAGTCGTGCGGCGGTGGGTAGTCTGGCGCAGGTAGTGGGAACAGCTGAGAGCTATTAGGAGGGCATCTGTAGCCCTGGAGAGCCTGAGACAAGAAAACAGGCCTTCCCGGGGTGGATGTGGCACAGAGGAATCGGGAAAACGCTCAGAAGGGCCACTATCCTGGGACCCTGGGTTAGAGCAAGTCAAGACCGGGTTCTTCTGTACCCTGCATGTCACTCGGTAAGATTTGGGCAGGGAGCACAGGTTTTAGGACCTACTAATTAGTGCAGGGCGGGGAACCACCAGCTTAATTCCAGAAACAAGGTCATGCGGAGGTACTGAAAGGTAGCACGTGCTGGGAGGCCCAGGTAACATATTTTGGGTGACTTTGCTGTAGACACCAATGCCTGAGACAGATAAGGCTGAGGTGGTCCCCCAGTGGGGGTGGCCACAGGCCAGGAGCCTGAGCTGCTGGGAGCTTTATCCATGCTCCTCTGCCCCCAGTCCACTCCCTTCTCTGTCCCGACTCAGGGCCCCAGCTGGGGAGTCCTGACCCCCTCCTCACTCCTCTCTCTGCTGAACTGATGATTCTCTCTCTCTCTCTCTCTCTTTTTTTTAAAGATTTTATTTATTTATCAGAGTACAAGCAGGGGGAGCAGCAGGCAGAGGGAGAAACCAGCTCCCTTCTGAGCAAGGAGTCTGATGCAGGACTGGATCCCAGGACCCGGAATCATGACCTGAGCCAAAGGCAGACGCTTTACCAACTGAGCCACCCAGGCGCCCCTGGACTGATGATCCTGGACACTGACTCCCGCTCAGCTCACCAGAGGGCTCAGGAGAAACAGGCCAAGTCCCTTCCCTTGACAGCTGAGGTAAATCCATCTGCTCTGTGATGTGTGTCATTGGAGAGAAGCTGGGCATTTCTGGGAGCTTTTGCCCCCCTGTTTCCATCAGAGTCACAGCATTCTCTCAGGTTGCCTCCTGCTGTTGCTCCCAGTTCTCACATTGCTAATGACGGAGAAGACCGATTCCCCCGATGTCTTTCTCTTTTCATTTCCTCTGCCCCACTCCCTCTACACCCTCCTCACCCCGACCCTGGAACCGAACTCATAACCTCGTCCCTTCCCTGCATCCTTTGGCATCACGTGGTGTTTCATGTACCATGGGCCACATACATGTACTTTGTCCATCTTGAAATCATGGGTTTTACCTTCTCTTACCTCCTCCACAATTTAGCACTTTGTTCACTCAGTCGTTGCTTCGCTAATAATCTGTCGGGAACGTGTTTCACAGGGTCTTGGGATCCTTACATCATCGCTTCTACTGCAGACTCTGGGATCAGAACATATATAGTCTAATTCAAGTTCCCCACTTCCATTCTCTTACTTCCCAGGTAAGAACTTTATGCCTCCAACAAATACTTTTCTTCTTGTTTGAAGACCTCTTTTTACGGATTTTCGAATGCCTTAAGTCTTTTAAACCTCTGCCCCTTATGTAATGAAGGGTTTTATAGAGCTTATCTTTTCAACAAATCTTTGGCTTGAGTGTGGCCAAAACACTTACAGAATCAACTGGAAAGGGAAAAAAAATAAGATCTTGATCTAACACTATAAGCTTTTCCATTCTGCAAGGTGAAATCCTTTGACCTAGATCTGTCCCTTAAAAGGCAAGGGACTGTAAGAAATTCTAAGTTTTTCTTTGAATTTTAAGAGCATTCGTAAATACTGATATAAAAAGTCGGGTTCAGGGGCGCCTGGGTGGCTCAGTGGGTTAAGCCGCTGCCTTCGGCTCAGGTCATGATCTCAGAGTCCTGGGATCAAGCCCCGCATCGGGCTCTCTGCTCTCTAGGGGAGCCTGCTTCCTCCTCTCTCTCTGCCTGCCTCTCTGCCTGCTTGTGATCTCTCTGTCAAATAAATAAGTAAAATCTTTAAAAAAAAAAAAAAAAGTCGGGTTCACCAGCCAGTTTTATTTGATTTTCCTGAAAATCTGCCAGACAGAAAGTTCTCCTTTTTATCCACCTTCATTGTTACCCCCAGAGCAGCCCTCTCCATAGCAACTGAAAACCTCTCTGGGTTGAATAATCCTCTCCAGCTCCCAGTGCACAGTCAAGGAATTTTAAAAACAGAGGACTTTGTAACCACGAAGTACTCTCCAAGATTTAAAAGGCTACGGAGCTCCAGAAAAATAATCATTTATCTTTCTCCTAACGGTAAGCACCACATTTAGAAATGTTTGTCTCATTCTCTGTCATTTTTTAAATGCTAACATAAGAATCTTAAACTCTCTATTTTCTTAACCATAGAAGTAATCCCAATATCCCCTCTACTACCCCACAGTCATTATTACCTCATCTCTGGGCCAATGTCTGACACGAGATGCTGTTAACATTTTGCATTCCTTAGGCAATCGGGTGAAGGGATTATTATTATTATATTTTTATTTTATTATTTATTTATTTATTTTTTTGCAGAAAGCTAATTGGCTCTCAAGTTGTCCCTCATGCCTTTAGTGACCATTGAGTTTGTGGATTTATGACGGCTCTTGAGGTCTTGAAACCCTGGGCTTTTTCTGCTAGTTGGTACTTTTAATAAACTAAAACCTTAAAAATGACTAGGGTCTAAAAAATGAAAAATGAACAGTGACTGTTTTCTTCTAGTATCCTTCCTTAACAAAAACCGTCCCATTCCATGTGATACGGTAATTTATGGAAATGTATTTTCTGTTTATTTTTTATTTACTTACTTGAGCGATGAGGACCACCCAGCCATGAGAGTTCTACTCTAGGATGGGAAAAAAACAGCGTATTTCCTGTCTGGGTCCTATGACTAGTACCACCTACAGGGTGAAGAGAGAAACTTCTTCCTAATTCAGTTCCTCTGTTGAGTTTAGAGCAAGGCAATCGCACAAACTTCTTGGCTGTTCTACAGTTTGAACTAAGTCCACAGCCCTGAGCACTGCCTGCTGTTTGCAGTTATAAATGACCTACAGACACCCCCCCACACACACACCCCCTTGTCCCCCGCTGCAGTTCAGAACCGGCTGACCATTGCAAATCAGCTTAGCCACCCCATTAATGAATCCTTTCAAACACGTTGCAGGCGGAATAATTAAAGCCTTCATTTTTTTCCCTTTACCACAGAAGTTCCTCCCATTACAAGTTTACACCGACAGCAAGCCACCCGACTCCATCACACAGGGTCTCCAGGTAAAGGAAGGGTGGAAATGTGCTTCTGGACAAAGCTTCCAATATTGGGGGTGCCCGTGTTCCTTTTCCTCGGCCTTGTTCCCTCTACTGAGACGGAAAGACCTTCCACGCAGGACAGCGGTGGCCCCTGGAGCCCCGACCACCTGACGGAAGTACTACGAGCTCTGTCTGCTGATGACCCTCCACCCCTGAACCATTCGAGAAGCCTCGTCAAAACCTTGCTGGAGAAAACTGGCTGCCCGCGGAGGAGAAATGGAACGCAAGGAGCTTGCAGTCTGGTTAGTGCAATAGGATATGGGATCAGGTACCGGGGTGTGTGCCAATGGCTTCTCCAGCCCTTTACTTCGCTAAAGGAAAATCAGGACGCGGTACCCAGGGGGGCGGCGCCTTGCGGTGTCATAACGCCCGCAGCTAGGGTACTGCGAGCCACTCACTCAGCATCCTCCATACGGCAATTCAAAACAGGGGGAATTTTCGTTTATTAAAACGGTAAAGTTTCTGGAAGCCTTTCTGCAACCCTCCAGCTCATGGAGAGGTATTTAGCTGCAAGTGTGAGCTTTTAGTTCTCTCTTCTTTCTGATTTACTATTTTATTTTATTTTATTTTATTTTTTTGTGGTTGTGGAGAACTTGTGCTTCACTGGTTAGATGCTCTTCGTTTGGGGGAGCAGGATGATAGTGATAAGATATTTTTCTAACGTTGAATTTTTGAAGTACTTTATCCTGGGTGTTGATTGGTGTTTTCCAGAATGTTGCATGGTGGGTCGCTCATGAATTGGATAATCATCCTCTCAAAAAGGACACATCTGACTGGCGCCCGCGTGAGGCAGTTGGTTGAGTCTCGGTTTCTTGGTTTCAGCTCAGGTCTTGATCTCAGTGTCATGGGATCGAGCCCCATGTCAGGCTTGGCACTGAGGTGCAGAGTTTGCTGGAGATTCCTTCTTCCTCTGCCCCTTCTGCTCCTTCTGTCTCTCTCTCTCTAAAATAAGTAATTTTTTTAAAAAAGATTTCATTTATTTATTTGACAGAGAGAAATCACAAGCAGGCAGAGAGGCAGGCAGAGAGAGGAGGAAGCAGGCTCCCCGCTGAGCAGAAAGCCCGATGCGGGGCTCGAACCCAGGACCTGGGATCATGACCCGAGCCGAAGGCAGCGGCCCAACCCACTGAGCCACCCAGGCGCCCCAGTAATTTTTTTTTTTTTTTTTTTAAACACACATCTAACCTGGGGACGAGAAGTGCTGTAGATGGAGCTAAAATGAAGCCTGTGGCTTGTGGGGCTGGGCTCCCAGCCTTCCCCTGGTCTGCCCCACGGCCCTCAAACCCTGTCTGCTCCTCAGCGTTGTCTGGGCAGCTTTCCCCAAACACCATGCTGGGGCTTCTTCCTCTCTCCATGGAAGAGATTTAACTTGCCTGGAATGGAATTTTTTAAAAAATCCTCTGCAGGCTGCTTTCATGTAAAATCCACCTTAATGTAAAGTCAGCATTTAACGTAAAACCAGAAGTCTCCATCAAGGAGGGGGGACCCACAGAGTTAAGAGCCCATATTGTCAGAGGATAGCAAACAAGAACAAACAAAAACACCATTCACCATCCCTTTCCTGATCGACGAGATTTTTTTCCCCCAGAATGAACCTACAAATAAATAAATAAATAAGCAAATAACTGCCTCCAGCCAAAAAAAATTTAAAAAAAGAGAGAGAAAAGAAAAAAATTTGGCAGACTTTCTCAATCATGCTTCATTCTAGGGGAAACATTTCCTGGCCAAGTGTTTTGTTTTTTGTTTTGTGTGTGTGTATATGTGTTTGTTTTTCTTTCTTTCTTTCTTTTTCATGACAGAAGGGTCTTACTAATAGAATTTTTTCTCTGCTCTGTGCAAACAATAAATAATTTGATAATTAGTGAAATTCCCAAAGGCTCCCAGAGAAAACATGTGTTAAAATAGGCAACTCATCTGTAATGACATTAATTTATATATATAGCAACATAAGACTTCCCCATGGAAATAACTCGGAGTCCTATCTTATTAATATCCTCTGAGAATTTGCTTCAGGGAAATGTTCTCCTCTAATGACATAAAGTGCCTTATTAAGGCTGGTTGAATATTAGTCTAGCTAGGACAAATGTAAACACGCAAATTGTTCTCCTGGTTTTTTGAGGGGCGGAGAAATTGTTTTGCACTTTTTGTTTTCTGTGACATTACCAAGCATTTGACCAATTTAGCTTCTGTTTGAGCTATTTCCTTTCCTAGGAAGTGAAACCCTTGTCTTGAATAGCCCTCTTGCTGCAGCTCTTTCTCTGTGGAAAAGACTGAGGTAAAAAAAAAAAAAAAGAAAGAAAAAGAAAGAAAGAAAAGAAAAGAAAAAGAAAAGAGAAAGAAAGAAAAGACAAAAAAGAAAGGGGAAAAAAAAGGAAAAAAAGGGCGAATTTCCACTTAACCTGCTCAGAGAGCTACACTTCACCTGAGCTCCCCATAAGCGAGGATCCCATGAAATCTCTCCTTGTCATTCATAAAAAAGCCAGGGAGAAACAGTGTCCTGTTGATTTGACAAACAATCACATTTTGGCACAAACCACAGGGTTTCTGCTCATTCTTGAATCTCTTAAGTCTTTTTAGAGACTGTCTATTTAGAGGCAGCATTTGTATTAGAAATTCTGTGGTAAATCTTAAGAAAAGAAATTCTGTGGTAAAAAGAGGGCAAGGGGTTAAGTTCATATCCTTAAATGTCTGGAAAAAAAAGAAGGAAGTAGGTGTCTTAAATTTGTGAGGAGAAAAAAAAAATGTACCCAAATTTATTTCATGCTTAGGTAAAAACTGAGTGAATGAGTGTGTGTGTGTGTGTGTGTGTGTGTGTGTGTGTGTGTGTGTGTGTGTGAATGAATCTGCAGTATCTGAAAACACTGTGCATTTAAAAATAAATCCATTCAAGCTTTAGCCTTCGAAAATGGATAGTCTTGCCTGATCATGGCCTTTTTAACATTTTTTAATGAGAAGGTTAGAATGGAGTTTTAATGAATTTAATGAGGGATTAAGTAACTCTAAGCAAATAAATTCCACTTCAGTTATGGTGGGAACCATGACCCTACATGGATTCCAGACATGGTGAAGGGATAAGAACCCAGTGTCTGGGGTTAGCCAGCACTGGGCCCAAATCCTTGTTCTGGTACCTTCTAGTTGTTAGGATATGTTGAACCTCAGCTCCCTCATCTGTAAGACCCCAGTGCTGGTTCTCTCTTCAGGGAGCTGTGTGTGAGGACCACATGGCCATGAGCTGGGGCACAACAGCTCAAGCTCTCTCTGTCCCCTCACATTTCCTATACATCATGGACATGTCCATCCTCTTTTCCCAGGGACCCTGGAATGGTGCTGGTGAGAAATGAGATAATCCTCAGCATCCCTCTCCTGCCCTGTCCCCAGACTTCCCCGCCCTCCATCCCAGGGGCTTGGGGGTTTTATCCAAGATCTCTAGAAGATTATCAGACACCTTCAAGGTAGAGAACCACAGGTTTAAGGTCCTGCATTTAATTCAGTGCTCCCTCCCCCATTTGTCATTTCTGTCCCAGGATAAACAGGGAATAGCTCAAACTCTATCTTGTTGATCTAACAGGTTTTTCTTATCTCAGGAAGACTTATCTCTGTCAGTCAGAAATATCACAGAATCTGGTATAGACCCACAAAAAGCCAGTACCTGCCATCAGCCAACATTCTTCCAACTCTTGGTTTGGCAGGAAAAAGAAGAAATATAATTTCCCTCTTAGAGTCCATTATAAGACCCCCCCCCCCCAAAAGAGACCTTATAAAAATCTCAGTACTTGAAAAAGGCCAGTAGATTTATCCATAACAATAATCAAACTTAAACACCTTTGGATCTAAAATCTTTTAAGTTTATCTGCAAGTATGACAACTGCCCTGTTAATGCAGAAGAAAGATTTCCTATTGTTTTTGTCACGAGGCTTTCCTAGCATCAGCAACGAACAAAACTAAATGAGGCGGCTGGGGAAGGTGATCTGATTTGACTATAGGAATCCAGAATCTGTTTGTTTTCCCTTTGAAACCTGATTGCCTCCACCTGACAAGAAATCAAAGGGAAAATCGACGGATTATTCCTGAATGAGTCCATTCTTCTTTAACAAAGAATCACTTCACCCGAGTTAGCTCCTTAGACGGATCTTGTTGCCTATGAGGTGGAAGTATTTGCAAAATTTTACTAGACATCATTTCCCAAACACAACCCAGCCACTGCTAAAAGCTGGAACGACATATCTAGTGATGATGAATTAGAAAGTCCAGTCCCCCACGCACCCCATAGAGCTTTCTTTCCTGTCAGTGTCTGTTAGATCTCATGATGTTCCCAAGAGTGGTCTTTCCTCAAGCTGCTGCGCTCCATATACAGGTAACTTCTTAAAAGTCCGATATCCTAAAAAGGCAAAATGTTGTCAGTCCACGGTCACTGGATTCCCCACTGAGCTTTATTCAAGCAGGCGTCAGAAAATTAAAGCAAGGTTAGGGAACTTCTGTTCATTTGAGATGAAGGAAATCTTTCATCAGACAGAATGAGATGTTCCACTACTATTTAAACATTTTCAGTCAGAAATCAATTTACCTTTCCCATTCTATGCTTTTCACAAACCATATCTCGTCCTAATCTCTGCTGCCCCAGGCCACATCCCTCCTCTTCCTTTTTTTCTTTCTTTTTTTTGTTTTGTTTTGTTTTTAGATTTTATTTATTTGACACACACAGAGATCACAAGTAGGTAGAGAGGTAAGCAGAGGGGGAGGGAAGCAGGCTCCCTGCTGAGCAGAGAGCCTGATGCAGGGCTCTATCCCAGGACCCTGAGATCATGACCCAAGCCAAAGGCAGAGGCTTAACCCACTGAGCCACCCACATTTTTTTTCCAGAACCAATTAGATTTAGGTTTTTTTCCAAGACTTTATTTATTTGACAGACACAGAGCACAAGCAGGGGGAGCAGCAGGCAGAGGGAGAAATAGACACCCCACTTAGCAGGTAGCCTGATATGGGGCTCAGTTCCAGGACCGTGGGATCATGACCTGAGCCAAAGGCAATGCTTAACTGACTGAGCCACCCAGACATCCCACCAGTTAGATATATGTACTGGGGAATGCTTGAATACCTAAGGTGCTTAGCAGTGTCCTGGACACATGGCTTGATTACACTTTGGTTTCAACTGATTCACCTCCCTAAGTCTTAAGGTGTCAGCTCTGCCAACAGCTACCAACCATGAACTTTTCTTGTGGGCTAATCAAGAAACAGAAAAGGGCTGGGTTGGTTTCAGTGGTGAAGCTTTATAGCCACATCGAGTTGGTCTTGTTGGGAAGCCTGTTTGCTGAGTTCTTATCCCGGGGTAGCTGAGCTGGGGCGAGAACGGAATCTGTATGGCTCGTGAAGAATGTGACAAATGCTTTGCTTTAGAGACAGACGACATGTTTCTTCTTGACTCAGACGGTATGTCCCAGATGCTCCCCGGTGGGACACCCAGCACATGTGGAATTAGGACGCCTGAAGCTTCCACCTCAGAGAGCAAATTAAAAGATATTCTAGTAAACTGTCCTTCTGTGGGGGGAAAAAAAAATCCCTCTGGGGCTCAGGACAGGCATCCCTTCATGCCTTGACTCTGAGGCTGAGGCTATGCCATGGGCTGCTTCTGGTATCCTAGGAGAATTCTTTTTTTTTTTTTTTTCCAAGATTTTATTTATTTATTTGACAGAGAGAGGTCACAAGTAGGCAGAGAGGCAGGCAGAGAGACGGGGGGAAGCAGGCTTCCGGCTGAGCGGAGAGCCCGATGTGGGGCTCGATCCCAGGACCCTGAGATCATGACCTGAGCCGAAGGCAGAGGCTTTAACCCACTGAGCCACCCAGGCGCCCCCTCCTAGGAGAATTCTTAGGAGTGCCTCACCATCTTTGAAGTAAGGCAGCTCCTGTCTTGTCAGGAGAGTTTCCCTTCCACAACTCTGTGTGTATCTTTTTTTTCTCATCGTCCCATCCTATTACCCAAAACACCTTCTGCCGTGTAAACGTCCCAGATGAGCTGAGCCGGGCGTCGGGCTGTGTGTGTGAAACAAAGAAATCATCGTGGAAGTATTTTTAGGCAATTCTCTTAGGTAGGGTAAAGGCAAGGCAGATGGTGTTCATCATTGCTTTTCACACCTCCTAAGAACCAGGCATTGTGCTTGATGCTGAGGATAGAACTGCACACAGACAAAACTTGGCCCAATGGACCACTTGTTCTTGGGGGAAGAGAGAAAATAAACGTGGAGAGAAAGCAATTTTAGAATACTAGGGCCACAAAGAAAATAAACCTGTTCTATACTAAGGTTGCCACTAGCCCCACGTGACTGCTGGGCATTTGATACGTGGTTCCTCTGAATTGAGACCTGCTGGGAGGTGTAAAGTGCACACCAGATTTTGAAGACTTAATCCGACGAAAAGAATGTCAAATAGCTCATGAATAATTTTTAAAAATTTGGATGACATGTCGAAGCAATCTTACTTTGCAGGTATGTTTCAAAAAGGGACAGTATTAGATACGTTATTAAAGTTAATTTCGCTTTCTAAAATGTGGCTACTAGAAAATTTAAAGTGACATGTGGCTCACCTCTGTGGCTTGGGTCCTGTTTCCATGGAACAGCGCCACACTGGAGAACGTGAGGCAGGGTTTGGGATTTCCTATTCTAGAGAGGGTGTTCAGGAAAGCATCCCCGAGGGGGTGTCATTTTAAGCTAGATCTGAGAAATGAGGGGGAAGAAGACCTGATGCGTGGTGGGAAGGAGCTTGGTGGGACTGATGGAAAATCACAGGGGCAGAACGTTAACGAGAGGTGGGAAGAGGTTAAGGGAAGGGAAGGCTGGGAGGTAGGCGAGAGCCAGACCGATGAGAAAGTTGTGTAGAGCATGGATTTCATTCTAAGTGCAATGGGGACATTCCTTTAAAAGCCAAAGAGTCAACTGCTTTTACTCCAGGCAACATATGGAGAACTGGAGATAGAAGAACTCCTCTCCGTGAGTAAGGGCTCCCCAAGAGGGCATCCCTGATGTATGAAAGTCCAACCTGGATTATTTTATTTGAAGCTGACTACTGGGGCTGCCCGCCTTTCCTTACTGTTCATAAAATAATAAGGGGTGGTCGTTAGTGTTCTAGGACTATTCACTAAGCTTTGTTTCTACTTTTGTTTTATTTTGTGTTTTTGAAACAGTGCTTTGAACCAGATGCCCTGTTACTAATAGCTGGGGGAGATTTTGAGGAGCAGCTCCAAGAGGAAGTGGTCCAGAGAGTTTCCCTTCTCCTCCTCTATTACATTATTCATCAGGAAGAGATCTGTTCTTCCAAGCTCAACATGAGTAATCGAGAGTATAAATTTTACCTACACAGCCTCCTCAGCCTCAGGCAGGACGAAGACTCCTATTTCCTTTCACAGAACGAGACAGAAGATATCTTGGCATTCACCAGGCAGTACTTTGACACTTCTCAAAGCCAGGTAAGAAGGGACAAGGCGCCAGCTGGCTTTGCTCCTGAGATACAGTCCCTGAGCCTTATTTCCTGTCACTTTTTTATCCCTAGGACAGTCAAGGACTCTTAAGAGAGGGCTTTGTTGCTTTTAGTTATGGGATGTTAAGTGATGTCATTTAAAATTCTGAGTATAAAAGGGGGAGATGGGATGACTAATGATTGTAAAATGAGTTCTAGCCAGAAGGTGGGTGGGTGGGTCGGTTGGTGGGCAGGAAAGCCAGGTGACGGGCCAGCCTCTTCTCCTGAACATGAAAGTGAGTGATTCACAGCTCCTGATCAGTCTCCAAGGACTGACCCACGTCAGGGAGGGCACTGTGCCTATTTGCCTTGCCTTCTGGCCAGGGAAAAAGAAGGCAGAACCATTTGAGGGAGAGGAATTTATCATTAGTTACTTCACCGGAGAAACAGCTTGCAAAAAGCATTATTCATGACCGTCAGCCCAGACCATATCCTCTTCTGCAGCTTTTGATTCCTGCTGCTTCTGTTCCAGGGGTCTCCAGAAGTGGTTTTCTCCTCTCAGGGCTCCCACGGTGAGGAACCAGGCTCTTGGTCCCTTCTGGCCTTCATTACTGTTCCAGCAAAAGGTGGCCCTTTCAATTACCTTTATCAGCTTTGCAGTGGGAAGTCTGAGTGGATAAAGTGCTCTGAATATTTAAAAAAGTAAAAAGAATTTAAGCCAATTTTCTTAAAGAATTGTGCAACCACCTGTGCAGTTTGAAGAGAGTTGTGAATCATTTTTTTTTTCCTCTTGAATTTTTCATTGACATGTGTCTTTGAGCTGCTATAACAAAAATATAATGGGGAGCTTCTACACAATAGAAATTTATTTCTCACAGTTCTGGAGTCCAGCGAGAGTCCCCATCCTGGTTCAAAAGATACCATTTCCTCATATGGTGGAAGGAGTAGAGAAGCCCTCTGGGGTCTCTCTTATAAGGGCACTAATCCCGTTCATGATGGATTCACCCTCATGACCCGGTCAACTCCCAAAGGCCCCACCTCATAGTACCGTCACAGTAGGTGGTAGGATTTCAACATATGAATTTGAATGAGGGGGACACAGTCATTCAGTCTACAGGGACATATGTAGGTATACTTGATTTTGGACCTCAGTTCTGGCTCCTGGGAGCCCAGAGGTTTCTGTGCAATCATGTTGTGGCCTAACGACCAGCAAACATATCCTCCAGTTTGTCGTAAAAATGTTTAATTTCTCGTGTGGTTGGCACACAGATGGAAAGACTGCTTCTTAAAGACTGTGTGGGCATCACTCTGGTAACTCTCATCTCATGAATCTCAAAATAGGGCCATATTTTTGTTTCCACTTCCAATTGAGAAAATGGGTTCCTTTCTGGAATTCAGTTTCTGCTTAAATAAGGAAATAGGCCCACATATAATTTCTTCGGTGTAACATCTATATGATACAAGATTGGTTCAAATTAGCCACTAGGATTTTAGTCATCCCATCTGTTACTGCCTTTTGATGCAGATAAAGTGGGAATGAAAACCCAGCACTTAAAAGCAGATGGTGTGTGTATATTCAACGTAGATTTCTGGTTATCCAACACATACAGCAAATTCCTGGGCTTCCAAGTGTATGTGAGATTAAACATTCCTAGAGCAGAATAAAATAATTCAATATTATGTGTAGGCCTATTTTCTCCATCTCTTCAGTCAAGAATTAAGAGCTCTTGTTGAGTTGTTAGGCCTTAGAGCTTTTGTCTCCTGGAGGATGGCAATGTCATCCTTTAACCCATTCACTTGGGCTGGAATTCCCTTAGGAATCCTTAGTCAAGTCAACCCAGACTTTTACAGAAGGCCAGTTGGCCTCTCACTGGAGGATGCCACTGTCTCCAACTAGAGAGAGTGAAGTCACAGAAGGTGCTGGTAGACCAGGCCCACCACTACCTACAGGTAGGTCTTGATCTACACAGGATTGGGCCTCCATAGGTGAAGCCACTAACAGGTCCTCTAGGTGGGCCTTCACCAGCTCATCAACAAACAGCTCTGCACTGGAGGACCCTAATGTAGCCACCCTCCCTAGTGGCCCAGAACGTTAATATCCTTCCAGTCCTTCATTCTCTTTTGTCCAACTACTGTTGATCTCCTTGACTCAATCTCTTGCTCCCACCTCTCTCTGTTCTTTCTACTGTTGGCTGTTTCCATGATGAATAAACAAGGATCTGTACAGACTTCTCCACTAGCCCTGACTCTTCGATGAGGGAATAGTGGATAGTATTTCCGTCCTACATTTGACAAACCCAGAAACCCGAGCCATTTTTAACTCTTCGGACTCCTTCACATTTTCTTCCAAATCCTTTGTAATATTCCTCAAATACATCCATTTTTCTAGCTCTAGTGCTACCATCTGAGGTCAAGAAATACCTTGGGTTAATCAATAACTTCTTAACTATACTCCTGCTCTTAAATTCCAGCCCTGGCAATTTATTCACAACTTTGCCACCAGAGTGACATTTCTATAACATACCTTATTGTATTATTCTTTTGTTTATAATATTAATGGCTTCCCTGGAGCCTTTAGGGGAAAAGTTTTCATAGCACTGAGTATAAGATTCTTGTCACCTTCTTCAGTTTACTGTCTATCCGATGCACAGCTAGACACTGGGTCCCACAATAATAGTAGTAAAGACTAGCTGACTGTGTCCTATGTACCAACTACTATATTAAGAATTTTTCATGTGTTAGCTCATCTAATCTTAATAACTTTTTTGGTGGACAGCATTGTCCTTTTTTTACCAATAAAGAGTATGAAGGTTGGCAAAGTTAATCATTTTGCCCAAGGTCACCCAGTTACAAATAACAGAGATAATATTAAGTAAAGCCTTTCCTGTCTATCCCAAGCACTATGCTGTGGAACTCACTTTAATGATATGAAAGTCCCATCACCATCCTGTGTTTCCATTTATTTCTACATTTAAGAGGAAGAGTATTTAAGAGCTTAGGCTACGGAGTCCTATCTGAGTATACACTGGGACTCACTTATCAGCCCAGTGATCTGTGTAAAGAGTATCCACTGCACAGAGCTCTGGGAGAATGAAAAGAGAGAATAATGTAATGGACTTAGTGTAGTGTCTGGCACATAATAGGCACTCAATAAATGTTTAAATGAGTGAATGGGTATTCTAGTGGAATGCAAGGCAAGAGTCTCGCCTTTCAGAGACTCATAATTTCATTGAAGGAAATTGATGTACACATGGAAAAGATCCTAGGTTCAATGGAAGTTCAAAAACACATACTGTACTAACTTTGATTTGCACTTACCACACATTGAACTTGAAACTAAAGGCAAGGGCGAAAAGAGAAGTTTCCTATGATGACACAATGCAACAGAGCCAGCATGAAGTCAAGGTCAGGAATATATATTTGAAAGTCATTACACTGCAGGTGCTACTTGAAGCTGGAGAGAAACAATTCTCTAGCTAGAAGGGTGTGAACAGTAAGAATAAGGGATCTTCTTGGAGAAAACCCATCTCTGAAGGAATAATGAGAAAGGTTAAGTAAATAAGGACCAGTAGGATGGGAGTTAGAAAATCCAGTGTCAGGGTGAATAAAAGAAACAAGAATTTTCCAAACAGAATCCTGAGACTAGAGAATGAGGGTAGTCATATTCCTACAAACAGTTCAGACCTCTGTAAGGTAAAGAAATATTTCTTGTCTTTTGGGGAAATCCTAGAGATATTTTAGTTAAAGTAACTTCAGAGGTTCAAACTTTTCTTTTTACTATGTATCTGATTTCAGTGTATGGAAATCAAAATGCTGCAGGAAAAATCTGGAATATTGAGCAGTGATGGTGCTGATGAAAATACACTTCCTCAGTTAGCAGCAACAATCATCGCTCTGTCCCTCCAAGGTGTTTGTCTGGGGCAAAGAAACTTGCCTTCCCCAGACTATTTTACAGAATATATTTTCAGTTTTTTGAATAGTACAAACACTCTCCACGTCTCAGGTAAGGATGCTTTTCATGAATTTAACTACTAAGTCATTCCTACTAAATGAGTTGTGCCTAAAAGAAAGACTAATGCTTTTTGATGAATAAATTTGTTCAGGTATGTTCTAAACACCCATTTCATCTTACCATGTAGTAAGACAGCTCAGACCTTTTCAAGGCAAACATGCTATTGTCTCCATGTGGTGATGGGGCAAAAATAGGGACTTGACCCATTTATTGATGATATTATGGATATAGAGCCAACGGAGAGATTTTTATGGCCTGCTGTAAGTACTAAGGAACACTTTTCTACTTGGTACATAGTCCTGAGCCAGGGGTCGCGTAATATTGCCAAGAGTGATGAAAGGGTATGCCAAATGATGCAAGAACCTTGGTAGAGTTTCCTTATAATCATAACAGTAAACTATTTAATTTTAAGTAAAAATCATGTGAACTATCTACTACATTCATGACTGGCAGCTTTTTTGAGCTCCAAGATAAAACAGGATGCTAGGAATGGACTCAGAATGTTTGTCTCGCACATTTCTTTGTCCTTGACAAGATATTAAAAATGAAATGAATTTTATTCATTAAATTGTATTCATTAAAAATGAAATGAATTTTAATTTTTTAAAATTATTTTTATTAATATACAATGTATTATTTACCCCAGGGGTACAAGTCTGTGAATCATCAGGCTTATACATTTCACAGCACTCACTACATAGCACATAACCCAACCACACTATCCCTACCCCCCAGCAACCCTCAGTTTGTTTTGTGAGATTAAGAGTCTCTTATGGGTTGTCTCCCTCTCGATCCCATCTTGTTTCATTTTTTCCTTCCCTACCCGTACAACCTATGCACTGCCTCTCAAATTCCTCATATCAGTGAGATCATATGATAATTATCTTTCTCTGATTGACTTATTTCACTCAACATAATACCCTCTAGTTCCATCCATGTCATTGCAAATGACAAGATTTCATTTTTTTGATGGTTGCATAGTATTCCACTGAATATATATACTACCTATTCTTTATCCATTCATCTGTTGATGGACATCTAGGTTCTTTCCATAGTTTGGCTATTGTGGACTTCGCTGCTATAAACATCCGGGCGCACGTGCCCCTTTAGATCCCTACATTTGTATTTTACAGTAAATAACCAGTGGTGTGATTGGGGGGTTGTAGGGTAGCTCTATTTTCAACTTTTTGAGGAAATTCCATGCTATTTTCAGAGTAGCTGCACCAGCTTGCATTCCCACCAACAGCGTAGGAGGGTTCCCCTTTCTCCGCATCCTTGCCAGCACCTGTCATTTCCTGACTTGTTAATTTTAGCCATTCTGACTGGTGTGAGGTGGAATCTCATTGTAGTTTTGATTTGTATTTCCCTGATGGTGAGTGATGTGGAGTACTTTTTCACATGTCTGCTGGCCATCTGGATATCTTCTTTGCAGAAAAGTCTGTTCATGTCTTCTGCCCATTTCCTGATTGGATTATTTGTTCTTTGGGTGTTGAGTTTAATAAGTTCTTTATTGATTTTAGGTACTTGCCCTTTATCTGATATGTCTTTTGCGAATACCTTCTCCCATTCTCTCAGTTGTCTTTTGGTTTTGCTGACTGTTTCCTTCACTGTGCAAAAGCTTTTGGTCTTGATGAAGTCCCGTAGTTCATTTTTGCCCTTGCTTCCCTTGCCTTTGGCCATGTTTCTAGGAAGAAGTTGCTGCGGCTGAGGTTGAAGAGGTTGCTGGCTGTATTATCTTCAAGGATTTTGATGGATTCCATTCTCACATTGAGGTCTTTCATCCATTTTGAGTCTATTTTTGTGTGTGGTGTAAGGGAAATGGTCCAGTTTCATTCTTCTGCATGTGGCTGTCCAATTTTCCCAACCATTTGTTCAAGAGACTGTCTTTTTTCCATTAGACATTCTTTTCTGCTTTGTCAAAGATTAGGTGATCATAGGATTGAGGGTCTATTTCTGGGCTCTCTATTCTGTTCCATTGATCTATGTGTCTGTTTCTCTGCCAGTACCATACTGTCTTGGTGATTACAGCTTTGTAATAAAGCTTGAAGTCTGGAATTGTGAGGCCACCAACTTTTGCTCTCATTTTCAACATTCTTCTGGCTATTCGGGGCCTTTTCTGGTTCCATATAAATTTTAGGATTATTTGTTCCATTTCTTTGAAAAAATTGCTGGTATTTTGATAAGGATTACATTAAATGTATAGATTGCTTTAGGTAGCATAGACATTTTCACAATATTTGTTCTTCCAATCCAGGAGCATGGAACATTTTTCCATTTCTTTGTGTGTTCCTCAATTTCTTTCATGAGTACTTTATAGTTTTCTGAGTACAGATTCTTTGCCTCTTTGGTTAGGTTTACCCCTAAGTATCTTATGGTTTCGGGGGCAGTTGTAAATGGAATCAACTCCTTAATTTCTCTTTCTTCTGTCTTGCTGTTGGTGTATATAGATGCAACTAATTTCTGTGCACTGATTTTGTATCCTGACACTTTACTGAATTCCTGTACAAGTTCTAGCAGATTTGGAGTGGAGTCTTTTGGATTTTCCATGTAAAGTAATATATCATCTTCAGAAAGTGAGAGTTTAACCTCTTCTTTGCCGATCCAGATGCATTTTATTTCTCTTTGTTGTCTGATTGCTGAGACTAGGACTTCTAGTACTATGTTGAACAGCAGTGGTGATAGTGGACAGCCCTGCTTTCTTCTTGACCTTAGGGGAAAAGCTCTATTTTTCTTCATTGAGAATGATATTCACTGTGGATTTTCATAAATGGCTTTGGTGATATTGAGGTATGTACCCTCTATCCCTACACTTTGAAGAGTTTTGATCAAGAAAGGATGCTGTACTTTGTCAAATGCTTTTTCAGCATCTATTGAGAGTATCATAGGGTTCTTGTTCTTTCTTTTATTAATGTGTTATATCACATTGATTGATTTGCAGATGTTGAACCAAACTTGAAGCCCAGGAATAAATCCCATTTGGTCGTGGTGTATAATCCTTTTAATGTAACTGTTGGATCCTATTGGGTAGTATTTGATGAGAATTTTTGCATCTGTATTCACCAAGGATATTGGTCTGTAATTCTCTTTTTTGATGGTATCTTTGTCTGGTTTTGGGATCAAGGTAATGCTGTCCTCATAAAATGAGTTTGGAAGTTTTCCATTCTTTTTTATTTTTTGGAACAGTTTCAGGAGAATAGGTATAAATTCTTCTTTAAATATTTGGCAGAATTCCCCTGGGAAGCCGTCTGGCCCTGGGCTCTTGTTTGTTGGGAGATTTTTGATGACTGCCTCAGTCTCCTTACTGGTTATGGGTCTGTCAGGTTTTCTATTTCTTTCTACTTCAGTTTTGGTAGTTTATATGTCTTTAGGAATGCATCCATTTCTTCCAGATTGTCAAATTTGCTGGTGTATAGTTGCTTATAACATGTTCTTATAATTGTTTGTGTTTCTTTGGTGTTGGTTGTCATCTCTCCTCTTTCATTCATGATTTCATTAATTTGGGTCCTTTCTCGCTCTCCCTCTCTCTTTTTTTTTTTTTTTTTATCAGTCTGGCCACGGGTTTATCAATCTTATTAATTCTTTCAAAGAACCAGCTCTTAGTTTTATTGATTTGTTCTACTATTCTTTTGGTTTCTATTTCATTGATTTCTGCTCTGATCTTTATTATTTCTCTTCTCCTGCTGGGTTTAGGCTTCCTTTGCTGTTCTTTCTCCAGCTCCTTTAGGTGTAGGGTTAGGTTGTGTACTTGAGACCTTTCTTGTTTCTTGAGAAAGGCTTGTATCACTGTA